ATAGATTTCAAAATTTGTGGCATTTATGTGTAAGGATGGCCTAAGTTAAGCAAGATAGTTGAGAGCTTTAGCAACTATTCAAAAGACCAAAAACCAAAACAAAACCCTGGAGAAAAATATCCCCAAACTCCTGTAGACAGTAGTAAATAAAAGTCTATCAAAGAAGTGTAACATTGTTAAAAATGGGGCCACTGTTCTGTTACGCATGCAACTCTATCAACTAAAAAGGATAGGAATACATATTTAAAAGATACCCAGATGTTTACGTACTATGTATATATTATTATGACATGCACACAAAGGCGAAAAGATCAGTGATGCTTTTGTGTCTTAAAAGCTTAATCTAGGTTAAGAGATACATTAATAAGGTGCTTAATAGAGCTTCTATTTTCATATTCCATGAAAGAGGTAATGATGTTCTTTAAAATTTAACCATTTATAGCTACAAAGCTCTGCAAATATGTTTATTTCTGGAGTAGAAAAGATTCAAAATAAACTACAATGTTCCTTTTTACATATTAAGGGCTTTGCCCTTTTATGTTTCTTTTTATATGGTAGTATTAAACATCATAATGTGGATAAACATGGATGAGATGACCCACTCAACGTCCATTTTCTGAATATGACTGAAAGACCATAGAGAAATAATTTGGCTTAATATATAATCAAATTTAAGCTGATGAAAAGGAAGAAGGCTCACGGCTTTCCTTCAAGAAATGAAAAGACAACAGAAATCTTTCAATGCTTTGAAAAATCAAGAACAATGTATATGAAGGTGCTTCGTAAATACTGAGTTTAGATCAAAAAGAAACACAGGAATACAATATTATTAAACTCTCCAAGAGTGGAAATATCATACAGGCCTATTGTCCGCTATCCAACACTTGCAGTAATCACAGAATTTCTTTGGTTGCGACTTCCAGTAGTCTGCCCTGAAAAAGGGAAAAACAAGTCTAAGCTTATTTATAATTAAAAAAGGTAAAATTGTGCATGTTTTTACATCTTCTTAGAGTTTGAAGTATAAGCCCCTGTTACTGCATCTTGTCTTGTTACACACATTACCTTTAGTATTTAACTCACTGCAGCAGTTAGCTGAAATTGTTGCCACTAGAAAAGAAAAAGTCTGCACCGGATTTAAAACTCCCTTTAATAAAATTGCTTTGAAAAAAATTTTTTTTTCTCATTTGCCACTGCCATCGGTGTGAAGAAATAAGATACATCTTGGAAAAGATTTATCTTCTCTATGCCTTTCCGGCATTTTGGGAGGTTGCTGTAATGGAGGCCTGAAGAAGCTCAAAGTTTGCTTTAAATCAAGTTATTTCCACCAAAAGAACAAAGAACAAGACTCCTCTGGTGGGAGACTGGTTCCTCCGAGACTATCAGTTAATACAATTTGTTCCTGAGCCTCAGGGCAAGAGAGAGTTGGAAAAGCCAAGGGACCTCTTAGCCCGCCAGACTTGGGGCCGGGGCGGGGGGGGGGGGGGGGCGGTGGAAGTCACTACGCTAACCAAGACTGGCCGTTTCTACCAGTCGGAGAAGGCGGCGGTGGCCGGAGTCCAACCCTAAAGTTTCACAATACCCCTGGGTTCACGCGCTACAGAAACGAATAGGGTGCTTGCGATCCCCAGCTGTGCAAGCGAGGGAGCACCCGGTCGCTTCGCGGGCAACAGTCCAACCTCAACTGGCCGCCAGCCTCCCTCCCGAAGCCCGAGCTTCAGGCCCCCAGGGCGCTCCGCAGGATAGCATTTCTAAGCGCCCAGAGAACCGGCCCTGCCGGTCTGGTGCCGGTCCCGAGCGAGTTAAGAGCACCTCCGTCACGCCTCCAGCCGAAGGGAGGTGGGGGGGGATGGTGGTGGAGGGCGAGACCCGGCGGAAAAAGGGCCGCCCAGAGGAACAACACCTCGTTGTTTAGAGCCTGAGACCCGACTCACATGACTGGACCAGCCGCTCCGCGCGTCGCCCCCGGGTCCGGCTCGAGCTCGTATTCCCCACGCGGGGCGAGTTGGGACCCGGCCGGCCGCGAGGCCCACCGGAGCCTCCAAACCCCAACACCTCCCTCTTTCCCTGTGACCAGGGTTCCACGGTTCGCAAGTACGGGTGCCCGGGCGACTCAAACCGCGTTCGAAATCTCCTCCTCCTCCCCTCCCCCTACGGGGCGGTACTCCGGGAGCCTGAGAGGTGGGGTCGGTATAAAGGGGTTGAGGTCACCGAGAAGGGGTGAAAGCGCGACGGGACCTGAGCCGAAGGACAGGCACGTCACGCGTCAAATCCCCGCATCATCCCGCCTTCACTCTCTCTTCCCCTGGGATCCAGAACCTCCACCCTTCTAGGCTCGCTGGCTCGTGTCCGAGGAGCTCGCGCGCCGCCTCCGCCCCGAACGCAAACAGCTGTTCCCCGAGACGTCGCCGCCCTCAACTTTGCCAACTAGTCCGCACGCACTTTGACCAGCGAAGCAACCCGGACCTGTAGGCTGGGGGCCGTTGGCGGAGTTAGAAAAAGAAAAGTGAAACAGCTGGTTTCGGGGCCGCGAGTTGCGGGGCTTTGCCTCAGAACTTTCCGGAGGCGGCGGAGTGACCCCGCCCCGCCCCCGCGCGCACGGGCCGAGCTAGTTCCTTCGCTCGGGGAGCGCGTGGGCAGCGGCGGCGGCGGCGCTGCGACTCGAGTGGCGCAGAGGCGGCGGAGGGAGCAGCGGCGCGGGGAAGCCCAGCGGCGGTAGTCGGGGCGCGTGCGCTTGTCAGGTGAGTCACGGCGGCGTCTCTATCAGCACTTCCCATATGGTCTAGCGGTTAGGATTCCTGGTTTTCACCCAGGCGGCCCGGGTTCGACTCCCGGTATGGGAATGTGGTGGCATTTTTAAAAACCGAATGGGGAAGCTCACTCATTTTACTTCCAATATTCTGGCTCTCTTCTTGTCTCGTTCTCGTGATGTTTGTGAAGAACGAGCATTAGTGTAGTCTTTGGTGACTTCGTGACCCGGGCGGCTGGAGGAGCGAGTACGCTGTGGTCCCTCGCCTCCCTCCTCTGGCTGGGGGGCTGAGCCGCCGGGGAGTTTCACTTTCCAGGGGCTGCCCTCCCGCTCTTCCGCCCCGAGTCGTCCTTTTCCAGGCGCTCGGGAGGTGATGATTAACTCTGGCCTCGCTTTATCTCCTCCCAGCGCCCCCCGGGGCCCACACCCTACGCGGCCGCGGTTTTCCGACCGTCCCGAGCGACGCGGGGCGTGTTCACCCCCTGCCCTCGGCGACGGGAGTCCGCACCCCGTTCGGAGTCCTCGTTCTCTTTCCGCCGGCTGTTCACGGGACCCGACCCCCGGCACAAAGCCGCCTGTCGCGGGGCGCGCGGCGGCGTGGCGGTCTGGCGAGCCTCTGCGCCTGAGGGCGCGCTTTCCCGTCCGCGCCGCTGCCCGTCACCGTACGGTCGGCCGCGTGTCCACCCGGCTGTCCCGCAGCGGCCGAGCCCGCCGGCCAGCTCGGCCCAGCCTGACCCCGGGGGCGCTCGTTTCAGCGCACGGAAGTCCCGCGGACTCCAGAGCCACGGACTTGAGTGCCGCTGCCTGGGAGGGCCTCCGGGGAAGGGAATTCCCCCCGCCCGCCACCCCCCCAGTCCTCCCGCCCCGCTTTAAAGCGCGCACACAGACGCGCGCGCACATGCTGCGGAGAAGAAAAATACCACTACGATGAGATGTTTTTAAAGAAATTTAACTGTCCGAAGGGTCTAACGTTTTGAGCGCCGCGGATAGAAAAATCTTAGGGTGGAGGTGGGGCTTGGAAGAGAAAACTGGCTGGAGACTGGGGAGGGGATGTTATAACAAAGTTTCACTGTATTTTTAAATATAGAAGCCCTGTGTTTATTACAAAGAAGGGGCAGCTGTGTCAGCAGCATGTGAGCTGTAAATGAAACAAAAGCGTTATCTTAAACGCAAGCTGAAATTAGAAGATGGGGTGAGCTATAATGTTCAGTCCATTGGGCCTCTGGGAACAAATGGAGACTGAAAAAGTGGCTCTTGTGGATAGGTTTCTGGTCAGTGCCATTAATAAGAGCAGAAGATTGGTGGTTAATGTGCGCATTCCCAAACTTTTATATTTTAATTGCACAGTGAGTTTTGGAATAATCTGTTAACGTAATCTGCATGATTAAGGATTAATCATTTTTACGTTGTAAGTAAACTTTTCATAATTAAAAATATTTTATCTTTTCGTTAACTCAGATGTTTGAATATTTACGACAAGCACCATCACACGCTTTTGAAAGTTCCTGATCAGGTTCGTGTTAGTAGGTTGTGGGTACAATACTGAATGGAATTGTATTTTCGCTCCTCTGATTAGCTTACGATTCACCTTGTGTGAATCTTCCACCTTCTCTCTACTCTGGGTTTACAGCCGTAAGTTCTGGAAAAAACGTATCGTTCAGAAACTTTAGATGGAGTTGCAAGAATTGTTGAGCAATTCTTGAATAGGTAATGCATGTGGAAAAGTTTTATTTATGTGGGGAAAGTTTCATTTGAATGAAGAGCGGGATTGTGTCATTAAGAAACCATTTACTATAAAGAATTCAGTCGGAATTTGGAAGGAAGGAAAGACCCCTCTGCCTAAGTAGGGCTTAACTCTACTTGACCTTGCATTTTGTGATGACTTGGTATCATATTGTGATTGGATGTGATTTTCAACTGAGCACCGAGGAATTGCAAATAGCTTTGCTTTATATATATTTGAAGGTATGCTGAGGGAAGTAGTTTGGTGACAATATTTCTCAGACTCCTATATTGTTGTGTACCAGGCCAAACAGGGTAAGGCAGTATCTGAGTTGCAGAAGTTACTGCTGCAGGAACACAGAGGTGAGACATCACTTCTACTCCTGAGAACTGGCAAAGAGAGGTAGAGGGGAGAGTGTTTGCCCTGGACCTTGAAAAACTGGTTGGATTTCTCCTGGTGGGGAATGTGTGTCTTAAAGCTGAGGGGGGTGGAGGGGGGTGGATGGGTGGGGGGCTAGGAGGGGGAGGTGGGGTCAACAAGTATGAAGCTGGCAAATAGTCTGAACACAGTGCCTAGAGGGAGAGAGAGGCATGGGAGATCAAGCTGGGATGGTAGGAGAGAATTTCACCTTAATAAAGTTTGACTAGGTAATGGGTTCTTTTATCAAAGGAGTAGCATTTATGTTACTGGAGTTTTAAAAACATTTTCTTCTTTAAAAAAAGCATATAGCAGTAATATGTGAAAACTGTTTTTAAAAAATTTAAGCAGTATAGGGGCGCCTGGGTGGCTCAGTCGTTAAGCGTCTGCTTTCGGCTCAGGTCATGATCTCAGGGTCCTGGGATCGAGCCCCGCATCGGGCTCCCTGCTCAGCGGGAAGCCTGCTTCTCCCTCTCCCACTCCCCCTGCTTGTGTTCCCTCTCTCACTGCCTCTCTCTGTCAAATAAATAAATAAAATCTTTTAAAAAAAAAAAAATTTAAGCAATATAGAGACTTGTGCCCATGTTTTATGTTTGCCTGTTGAATATTAATTTTTAATTAGTAGAATGAGAAAAGCAATCAGAATGCAATTGAAAAGAATGAAATCTAGGTTTAAATCATGAGCATTATATGCAACTATATTCTTACTAGCATGCTTTATTGAAAATGACCTTAATATTTTAAGACTGAGCTGCTTGTTACTGTCACTAAGGCATACACCTTAAATTGGTTAAGGCTTGGTGATAAATTTGTAAAGCTTCATTCATAAGCTTGTGCCTTGTTACCAAAAGGCCGTTGGTAGTCATGTTTTAGGTGTCCTCCCTTGGGCCACAGAGTAAAGCGATACTAATTGAATGGTACATATTTACCTAAGTAGTCTCTTTAATATTTGCTACTATTAGGTGCAATCAGAAGATATGTGACCATTTAAGGAATGTTTTCACAGATGAACACCTATATTAAAGAAATATAAGGGATTAAAAAATGATGGCATTTAAAATCCAAGGACTTTACCGTAGTCGAATATTATCTGGCCTCTACTCCCCCAACTTCATCTCCTACCTTCTCCGCCTCTTCATTATACATAGCCACACTGGCTTCCTTTTTGTTCCTTGACCATGCCAAACTTGTTCTTTTCTCACTTTTATTTCTTGGTGTTACCACTGCCTAGAATATTCATATTTCAGGTCAACATTACCTCCTCAGTGAGGTCTTTCTGATCATCCTTTTCTTTTGGTTACTTTACTCTCTTTTGTTTTCTCCTTTTTCTTAATACTTGAAATAAACACATTTTTTTTTTCTATTTATTTGTTATCTTTTTTCCACTTGAGTATAAGCTCCATGAGGGTAAGGATACTGAATAGTGAAATCATTCTTGCTCTTTAAGATTCAAACAATAGTGAAGTGGTTGGAACCCTCATGCAATGCTGGTAGACTGTAAAGTGATGTGCAGTCTCTTTGGAAAACAGGATGGCAGTTCCCTCAAAATGTTAAACATAGAGTTACCATACGAGCCAGCCTTTCCATTCAAGAGAAATTAAAACGCGCCTGCACAAAAACTTGTACACATGTTGAGAAGAACATTATTCATAAGCAGAAAGTGAAAGTGCAAATATCAACTGAATAGTAAAACGAGATGTATCTATACAATCAAATATTATTTGGCAATAAAAGAGAATGAACTGATACATACCACAACATGAATCAGTTTCAAGATTGTTATGCTAAGCAGAAGAAGCCAGCTCAAAAGACCACATTTTATATGATTTCATTTATATGAACTGTCCATAATAGGCAATTCTATAAGAGAAAGAGGATAGATAGATTATGGTTGCCTAGGATTGGGAGGTGAGGGGGCAGTGGTTACAGGGCTCAGAGTGACTGCTAATGGAGATAAAGGTTACTTTTTAGAGTGATTGTCCTAAAATAATCTAATAATGATAATGGTTGCACAACTCAGTAAATAACCTAAACACTAAATTCTACTCTTTGAATGGGTGAACTATGATATGTAGATTATATCAACAAAACTTAAAAAAAAAAGATTGAAGTAGTAAAAAGCATATATAATATTTTGTCTTTACATTTTATATTTATCATCTGGATAGTAAGCATTTAAAAATATTAGTGGAATAATTTAATACTGCAGTTCTAGCTCCTAGATAGTCCAGGAATGGAGCAAGTGTTCAGTAAATAGCTGATGAAGGAGGTTAACCTGTACAGAAAATTATGATACGATGTATAGTGTGATAAATGCTCAGAGGGAACTAAGCCAAGAGTTATATGGGTTTGAGGGCCTCCAAAATACCACATATGGATTCATGTGAAGTGAATGGGGAAAGGCCTCCTGTAGGAGGCAACATTTCGGATGGGCTTTGATGTCTGGCTAGGCTTTTGCTGGTGGAGATGATGTGGTGGAAAGCAAGGCATTAAGAAGGAAGCAGGCAGGAGCAGAGGCACATTAACAGTTGCTAGCACATTTTGGCTGAACTGAGGGTACAAGTAGGATAGGAATTGGAAATAAGGCTGCAAAAATAGATTAGGGCCTGCAGCAGACAATGTCCGTGCTGTCAGATCTCTGGTGTCTTTATCATCCCCCCCAACCACTAGTATGCTTCCAGGGGTGCTTCTCTATTTGCAGAGCGCTGGAAGTGCTTGGGAGTTTATTCCCTCACCCCTAACGAGACTCCAATTCAGACTGTCCAGTCGAGAATAACTTTGAAGCAGGGACTTTGACTTGTTCCTTTCTGTACCATCAGCACCTGGAACGGTGTGCTTGGCACTCAGAGAGTATGCAAAAACTATTTGAATGAATGAATGAAAACCAGGAAGGTGGAAGGTCTATTCAAAGTGAAGTTTATTTTACAGATCCCCTTAACTCTTCCAGAGCACTCAGGAAATTTTGGAAGGTTCTGATTGTGAAGGTCTTTGAATTTGGGTATAAGGAATTTACTTAGCTGGGAGAAGGGATTTCTAGTAATATAAGTGTTTTGATGAAATTATTTTGGTAGTAGTGTGCAGGATGAGCTGGAGAAAGGAGGGATTGTGTTCGTAGTGTCCACTCTCATCTTCCTGTTCCTGCTCCCCCTCTCCCTTTGGGTTAGGCCTTAAACAGGGTGGAGTGTCTCCAGAAGTACAGAAATAATTTAATAGCTCTCCTTGTCTCTATTCTCTCCTTAAATAGGGTGGTAGCAGCAGAATACAAAGGATGAGATTTAAAAAAAAGGTAAAATGGAAGAAAAAATTGAAGATGTCAGGAAGTAAATACTCCTAAAAGAAATAGGGAGGTTACAAAGCATCGTTTTTTGTTGTTGTTGTTTGTTTTTTTGGTGAGAACAGACAATTTTTGCTCCTAGGATTGGTCAGACAGTAAACTATTGCCCACCTGTATGTGTATGTGGGTGTGGCTTTTTGAATACTAAAATTGTACATTGAATCCAGAGACAAATTTAAGGCTGTGAGACTGCCACCCTGTGGACAGTATAACTTAAACCTAATATCGTCAAGAATTCTAATAAAACTTCATTCATTTGAAATTCACTATTTTAGAACTCATTATGGTTCTTCTATATCAGTATATGTGGGTTATGGTAATTAAATGGCAAGTTGAAATTTGTTTTCTGAACTTTTTCTGAGGCTTTTAAATAAAGGAAATTTAAAATACAATCAATAGCTTTAGGAAGTTGCAAAGAAATTTAAGAATGCTTTTTAGATACTTATTTGCTCCAGAAATTTCTTATCAAAAAGTGTGTTTTTTAAAACATTGTGGCGGGGACGCCTGGGTGGCTGAGTTGGGTAAGTATCTGCCTTCAGCTCAGATCATGATCTCAGGATACTGGGATTGAGTCCCGCATCTGCTTCTCCCTCTGCCTGCAGCTCCCCGCCCCCCCCCACCCCCCGCTTGTGTGTTCTCTCGCTCTCTCACATAAATAAATAAATAAATCTAAAAAAAACAAAAAAACATTGTGGCATGTTGTAAAATATTTTTTTCCTTCTTTTATACTCATTTTTTCATCCAATGTTATAATACATATGGTGCTGTTTTTGACAGTTGTAGCTCTTGAGAAATATTTGAAAAGTCTCCACCCTCCCCCTTCTTTGGCTAAGTGAAAGTGACCTTCCCTTCTCATTTTTTGTAGAGTTGGATTTTATTGTTAGAAGTTCTCCAGACTAAAAAAAAAAGTTCTCCAGACTTCGATAAATTGCCTTAAGTGTATTTATGTAAATAATTTGGATTTTATTCAATGTTACTTATTTGGAAGGGCAGTCTGCTCACAAATTAAACTGGTAAACTAGCTTGAATCAAAATGAAATAGAGATTGTGAAAGACTTATTTGCTCTCTGCAACTCAGGAAATGGTTCCGTCTAGAACTCGACAAAATAAAACTTTCCTAGCAGAAGAGCTCTTTACAGCCCAATGTTGTAAATGGCTTGTATTCCCTAAGGTGTCAGGAGGGGTGGAGTAGCCATTTAGCGCTTGAAATTTGTGTTAACAGTAAAGCAGAAGTGGGCTTAAGCGGCATTCTGAGGTCAGCAATTGTCTATTCTTTCTGAATGTGGTATCTAGGCTGAGGAGGAGAGTGGGTGAAGTATCAACTGGACCCCAGCCCCTTAAGTTACCTGATACTTTATCTTAAGGACCTTACATTTTGGTAACGAAGAGATTTTCAAATAGAATGTCAATGATTTTAAGTAATTAAATATTTCTGAATTTTTCTCAGAAGTATAGCATGGCACATATGATGATATACTTTAAATGGTTTTGTTTTATTTAACCTTTTCAAAGTAAATGAATGGGACTGGGGGTAACTTTTCATAAATTTTTTTTGCAACATTTATATCTTATATTCTACAGTTGATGTATACTCTAATTTATATGAAGTAGACCATGAATCTTGAAAATGCAAATGTTTATCTAGGTTTACAAGGTACATTGCTGTATAAAAAAACAGTATTATTTAGATATTATTTAAGGTTTGGAAAGTAACTTTCAAAATACTTCATGGTTCATTTGCTCCTTTCCTAAGTATTGGGACAAAGAGCCAGTAAAGTTAGAGATGTATTTATAGTTTTTAATCTTTAGTGGTTTCATTATCATATCATTTTTAAAACTGCAAATGATATTGTACTTATATAAAGAAAATTTTAGTTTGATTTTTAGCCTGCACTTTGTTATTGTACCGTATCTGACTTTTTATGCTGGAATGGTGACTGTTTTAGGATTAATGGCAGTTAGCGTTTCCTTTTACTTCTCAGGGGGTTCATTTTCACAAATGTAAATATAAAATATTTTGTTCTCTGAAAAGTAATTCCACTATAGGTGACTTGAATTTTGATAAAGGAGTAACAATGGTTTCGTAAGTTTTGTGTGCGCACCTGTATGTGCAAATTTAACATTTTATTTTTGAATTCAGACTACTCACTATTAAATAAGTAACTTTGATTTAAACTTTTTTTTTTTTTTTTTGCTTTATTGTAGATCTCTGGGAAGGTATTTAGCTAGTGATTTCTATGTCCAGACAGTCCTACTAGACAATCTTAAATCTTTATTTGTAGTTTAATCTTTTAATTTAGTAAAACTTTCTTTTGGATTTAAAATCCCAAGACCAGGATACATTTCTGATTTAGGATGTGTTGATGTATTGCTTTGTGTATAGCTTTTTATCTGTTTCCAGATTTAATTAAACATTTAATTCAAACTTCAAGGTTGTAATGGGAGTTGTTTTACCCTAGCTTTCCTGACATCTGTATTTATCACTGATACTCCCTTATGCCAAGGGATACAGATGACCCTATTAACTGGGAAGGTTAGGGCCCTGCCACTCAATCACCCACTGAGTAGGGCAGGCACTGACCCAGTTGTAAGAGCTGAAGTAGGAAGGAAGAGTGTGACAGAAAGAGATTGACTGCAGACACAGTCCCAGCACTCTGGGAAGGTACACAGGTGTGGGTAAGAGTGAAGGGAAGTGTCATGATGGAAGGCAGAATATAGGCTTAAGGAGTTCCAAGCAGGCAGTTGGCATCAGGGAATTTCAGATATGAGTAGGAATGCCATTTGTTTTATTTGTTTGTCCTTTTTTTTTTTTTTTTGCCACTGCACATGAACCACAATTTTATTGTTCCTTAAAATCCTGCTTTCAAAGACTGTCTCTTTTCCATTTTCATTATTTTCTAGAATGTCTTGGGTTAGTTTATGGTGCATGTTTTGAGGGGGCTTTTTACCACAGCTTTGTAGGAAAAAGAAAGCACAAAGTTTATATAAAAGCAAAACCTCAGACTCAATAGAATGGCTGCTATAAAAAAAAAAAAGACAGGAAATAACAAGTGTTGGAGAGAATGTGGAGAAATTGGAGCCCTTGTATACTATTCATAGGAATGTAAAATGGTACAGCCACTGTGGAAAGCATTATGGTGGTTCCTCAAAAAAATTTGAAATAGTATTACTGTCTGATCCAGCAATCCCATTTCTGGCTATACACCCCAAAGAACTAAAAGGAGAGTCTCAGGGAGACTCTATACATCTATCTTCACAGCGACATTATTCACAATAGTCAAAAGGTGGAAATAACCCAAATGTTCTTCAGTGGATTAATGGATAAACAAAATGTGTATACATACAGTGGAATATTTTTTCAGTCTTAAAAAGGAAGGATATTTTGCAATTTGCTACAACATGGATGAACCTGGAGGACATCATGCTAAGTGAAATAAACTAGTCACAAAAAGATAAATACTGCATGATTCCACTTGTGGTATCAAGTGTAATCGAAATCATAGAGACAAATTGGAATGATGACAGCTAGGGGTTGGGGGAAGGGGGAATTGGGATATAGAGTTTCAGTTTTACAAGATGAAAAGAGTTCTGGAGATGGGTTGCCCAGCAGTATGATTATACTTATTGCCACTGAACTGTAGAATTAAAAATGGTTAAGATAATAAATTTTATGTATATTTTACCATAGTTTTTTTTTTAAAGGCAAATTTGAATTTATATTTGGATGTGCAAGTGGTAAGATTATAAAAACCTCTGTAATGAGATTGAGGTTATTAATTTGGTTTATATTCACGTGTTAGGTGCTGGGGATAGAACTATGAAAAAAGCAGACAAAGATCCTCATAAAGGTTACAGTTTAGCGCAGGAGGCAGATACTGACTGAACAAGTAAAAAGCGTGCTTGAATGTTACATGCATACCAGGGAGACCCCTGACAAAGTAGGTGGAAAGGCTACACTGAAAAGGCTTCTCCAAGAAAATGACATTTAAATAGAGACCTGAAGGATGAGTAAGCAGTGGCTAGGAGGAAGAGAGGAGTGGAAAGGGAGGGGAGGCACGAGGGAGTAGCATTTTGCAAAAGCTCCAAAGCAGGGCAAGGAAGGGTATCCTTTGGGAGATGAAAGAAGGCCCTGAGGGCTGTGATGTATGAAAAGTGGGGGGAGGTGACCAGGGCATGTATCAGATTATATAAGTCATTGTAGGCCATTGCAAGGATTTTGAATGTTGAGGCGCTGGGGTGGCTCAGATGGTTGAGCGTCTGCCTTTGGTTTAGGTCATGAACTCTAGGTCCTGGGATGGAGCCCCAAGTAGGGCTCCCTGCTAAGCAGGACGTCGTTTCTGCCTCTCCCTCTGCCCCTCCCCCTGCTCATGCTCTCTCTCTCTCTGTATCTCTCTGTCTCAAATGAATAAATTAAAAAAATCTTAAAAAAAAAAAAGGATTTTGAATGTTAAGCAGAGATGGCAGATGTTGATGGGTTTTAAACCAGGGAGTAGGGAGGTGGAACGGAGTAGAAGGAGAAAAATCCTTCATCTTCTCTTACAATGTGGCTTTTAAATATGAATTACCTACTTAATCTGGTGCTTGAATGCCAGAGGGAAAAATGGTTCATTTATATTTATTCAGATGATATATTGGTTGCCAGTGTGACCTGTTGATGTGATAAAACTTCAACAGTGAATTTAAGGGGATTGTCAAGGGCAATTTAGCAGAGGTGATTTTCACCTTTATTCTCTGGCTTGGTAGTTGAAACCCCAGAAATGGATGGATTTGCCCAGGGAGAGTTTGGAAAAAGAAGAGGGCTTTCAGTGGAATCTTTAGAACCTCTTATGTTCAGTGGTGAGGTAGTGGAGGTAGGGCAGAGAAAACTAAGGAAAAGTACTCCAGAATTGGGGGAAAACCAGGAGAGAGCATTTATTAGGTCTAACAAAACAAGTTCCAAAAACATTAATTAGGTTTTCGCCCTGTGTGGTCATTGATTTTACAGATTTAGTGGTTTAATAGGGGTAGGATTAGATTAGATTAGATTAGAATGAGTCAAAGAATGAGAGGAAAGTGAAGAAATGGAATATAGACAAATCTTTGAGGAAGTTTGGCTGTGAAGGGAGTGAGAAAGAATGGTAGATGGGTTTGGGGTTGTCAAATGATTGGGATTTGTTTCTATGGAAAAGTGTGAATTTAAAGAATATCTTTTTTGGATCTATGAGATGCTTGAAAAATATATTACACACCTTGCTGATTTCCTAAATAGGATCTACCGAACACAAATATGACCTTCTCACGGACTTAATCTAGATATGGCGTTCTACGTATATACATCTACATATATACAGGGCAGTCAGGCCTCTTGAGGTATGGAGGTCTCTTTGTCACTATACTAACTTCTGGTCATCTGGGAAGTAAAAATAGAGAATCCTGAGTCCCACTTAATCAATTTGAACCTTAGCTATAGGACTCAGGAATGTATGTTTGCACTGTGTACTTGTCTTCAGAGGATTCTCATGCATCTGTTCTGTGAATGGCCTTGGAGAACTGTTGCCCTGAGAACGCTCTACTTGGAAATTTTCTGAATGCTTTTTAATAGCTCTAGCATGACTTATATGAGATACATATGGCAAGCACTTAGGAAGGAAAGATTTTCAAAGTTTTGTCTTCTAGTATGATTGGGATAGTGGTAAAAGTTTTTGATTTTTTAGGATGAAACGAGCTTGATCCTTTTTCCTGACTTTCAAAGTGGTAATATGTTCCAGGTTAGTACTCTCTACCCGCTTTTCTTATTTCTTCACTCCTTGCGCTCTAAGAAGCATGGTGCTTACTCCTGCCGGAATTGCCTTTGTTTGCTCCTATAACTTCCTCTATTAATAGTATTCCTCCCCAGCTTCTGCTGGATACGACTGGCTCCTCAGCATTCAGGTCTCAAAGCAGCTGTCCCATATTCAGAGAGGCTGTCCCTATTGAAAGTAGGTTTTCTTGGTCACTATGTTACTTTGCTGATTTCCTTCATCACAGTTCCTTCAGGGACTCTGCCTGAATGTTAACATGAATCTATAGGTAAACTGTATCCTGAGTCTATAGAATAGTGCCAGGCACATAGAAACTACTTAAATACTGAAAAACAAATAATAAAGATCATAAAAATCTTACACAGTATAAATACTGTTAACTTTCAGTTGGCCATTACTTCAGATACTGAAATAAGGACCACACAGGCATAGATGTTGATGTACGTGACATGTACTGTTTATAACTTGCATATGTCACTTACATATATTCTGGAGTCTTTTTCATGTCTACACCATTTTATACAGATAATCATTCTTTTTTTTTTTAAGATTTTATTTATTTATTTGACAGAGAGAGACCTAGTGAGAGAGGGAACACAAGCAGGGGCAGAGGGAGAGGAGAAGCAGGCTTCCCGAGGAGCAGGGAGCCCGATGCGGGCGGGACTCGATCCCAGGACCCTGGGATCCTGACCTGAGCCGAAGGCAGACGCTTAATGATTGAGCCAGATGCCCCCAGATAATCATTCTTAACAGATGAATAATATGGTCTGTTCAATATGATGAGGTACAGTCACTATAACATCTGATTTACATGACAGTTCTTTTTTTTTATACTTTTGAACGATAGTGCTGAATTTCTATCTACATCTTTGTGTATTTTTTTTGTTAGAATAAATGCTTAGGATTGAAACTGCTGGGTGAGAGGATCTATATACATAAAGCTTTTTGATTGTGAAATTGCCTGCTGGAATTATATTCTTTTACAAAGCTCATGAATAGCGTATGAGACCATTTATTTCCCCTGTACCCTCTCTAATCATTTTATTCTTTGCTATTTTAATAGGTGAAAAACGGTATTGTTTTTCTGCTTTAAGGTTTAGGAATGAATATCTTTGAACATTTTCTATTGTGTTTCGCCACATTTCTTTTGTGAAGTGCATATTCGTGCCCAGCGCCCAATTTTTCTGTTAGAATGTTTGATTCAACAACAGTTTCCCCCCCATATTTTACTACACAGATTTTTAAACATACAGCAAAGATGAAATTTTGCTCATGTATCTGCCACTTAGATTTTATCATTAACATTTTATAATATTTGCCTTACCATACATTTACTCTTTTATCTAAATTGCAGGTATTAGTACATTTCCATCTGAATACTTTAGCATGCTTAGTATTGACCAATGTTTGTTTAGTTATTTTTTTCTTTTGAGGTGAAATTTATATAAAATTAAATGCATGAATCTTTTTACTTTGTTTTATTTTTTAAAGATTTTATTTATTTGTCAGAGAGAAGAAAGAGAGCGCATAAGCAGGGGAAGTGGGAGGCAGAGGGAGAAGCAGGCTCCCTGCTGAGCAAGGAGCCCAATGAGGGGGACTCTATCCCAAGACCTTGGGATCATGACCTGAGCCGAAGGCAGACGCTTAACTGCTTAATCAGCTAAGCCACCCAGGCATCCCTAAATGTTTTATTTTAATTTAAAACAGAATTGGAAGGGGCGCCTGGGTGGCTCAGTCGTTAAGTGTCTGAGTTCGGCTTGGTTCGTGATCCCAGGGTCCTGGGATTCAGTCCTGCATCAGGCTCACTGCTCCACCGGAAGTCTGCTTGTCCCTTTTCCTGTGCCCTGTTCATGCTTTCTGTTTCTCTCTCAAATAAATAAAATCTTGAAAAAAAAATTAAAATAAAACAAAACAGAATTGGGTGTTCATTGGTCAAGGTTTTTTAATGTGAGAACACACACACACACACACACACACGGGGAGGGGAGGCAGAGGGAAAGAACCTCAAGCAGACTCCGTGCTGAGTGTGGAGCCTGACGCAGGGCTGGATCCTGACCCTGATCTCATGACCTGAGCTGAAATCAAGTCGGATGCTTAACCGACTGAGCGACCCAGGCCCCCCATTGATCAAGATTTTGATAAAGAGACCAAGGTTTCTGTCAGAGTGAGCCCACTGAGGCAGCTCCACGTTGTAGGGTCTTTCTTACACACCCACAAGATGTTGCCTAATAGTTCTAGTTTTGATTTTGTAAGTGGAGCATGAACTTTATTTTTGTAAGTATTTGTGGAGTTTCAGTGTATGTATTTGGCTGTGGAAGCCAAACCCAAGACTAGCTTTTGTTTTGTTTTCTTTTTTTTTTATAGGACTTTTGGTCACATTTTCTCCTTCTTTTTTCTTTGCCTTAGCTTTGGTTATAGTGGTTTTAAATTTTTAGTAGTCAGATGTCATCCTTTTCCTTATCTTTCTACTGCCATTTGTGTCATACATAGGAAGACATTTCTTACCAAATAATATACAGATGTTTATATTTTCTTCTGGTGCTTTTCCTTTTTTTACATTTGAGTATCTAGTTGGAATAATGTGGTATAGGGATTTTTTTTTTAAAAGATTAACAGTGGTTTGAGATCATTAGCAAATACTGTCTAATGAACAGTCTTCCCTTCTGTGTGTCTTTTTCTGCAACAAAATAGAATTTAATGTTTTTATTGATGCCATTTTTTAAATAAAGATTTAATTTTTAAGTAATCTCTACACCCAGTGTGGGGCTTGAACTCACAACCCAAGGTCAAGAGTTGCATGCTCTGCTGACTGAGCCAGCCAGGTGTCCCTGATGTCATTTTTATTATAATCTATGTTTGTATATAGTATCTGCTTTCTGTTTTTGAAAGTATCAGATGTCTTTTTTTTTTTTTTTTAATTGGGCTCCATTCTGGGCTTGAACTCACAAACCTGAGATCAAGACCTTAGCTGAGATGAAGAGTCAGATGCTTAACTGACTGAGCCAGCCAGGCACCCCAAGAGTATTAGATGTCTTTTTAAAAAATACCCTATTCTATTTAATCTCTCTATTCTTACATTTAGATACTTGAGATAATTTATTGCCCACAGGCATATTGTTTTTCACTATTTTGTTTTTTAAGGTTTCATCACTTACATATTGTTTCTTTCAGCTGAACTTTAGCAGAGTCTTGAAGAATGGGGAGAAAGGATAGTGGGGAAACAGTAACAAGAGTCAAGGCAGGAGAGGTTGGTAAGTCCTGGGGACTTATTTCTCTAACTTGTAATTGTCTGAATTCTTAATCTGTAAAGCAGATTATACATGTTTATTTTAGTATCCTTAAATTTGGGAAATGTCTCTTAAGGTGGTTCAAACTAAATTCTAAAGTTCAAAATATTTATGAGATTTTTAAAGTTTGGGATGTTATTGAAATGGCATAGGATTCTACAGCGAGAATGGTTTTTAATCCTGGCTTTAAAGGAGCAAGTCATAATTTTTGAGCACCTGTGTGTATCCTCTATTTTATTCTTTCTTATGTTTGGGTGATTCTTCAGATCAGAGCTGACTCAGCTGGGGCGAGATACATAATCTCAGGTGGCTTCACTCACATGGCTGGGGGCCTCTCTGTGTAGTTCTCATACCTTACTGGTGGCAGGAGGGATCCCAGCAGCAAGAAGGTAAGCCCCTGTGTCCTTATACTTTTTAGACCTGTGCTCGTGTTTTGTTATTATTCCACTGGCCAGAGCATATCCCTTGGCCTAGCCCATATTTAAGTGATGGAGAAGTAGACTGTGCTTCTTGATGGGAGAAGAGGCAGAGTCATATTTCAAACTGAGAAGTCTGAACAACTTAGTACCTATTACTACAGTGGTTTACCACAGGAAGTAAAGGGGTTAGCTACCTGGATATCTAACAGAAAAGCCTCCCTGGCAGAAGAGACTGTGCACAGACCTAGAGGGGAAGAATGCTTGATATGTTCCTGGGATAGCAAGGAGAGGTCAGTGGGACTAGAAGAGAGGGAGCGAGCAGGAAGTAGTAGGAGATACAGTCATAGAGGTTCGGGCCAGGGTAGGATCTTGTCCTTGTAAGCTGTTATGAAGACTTACTTTTTTGTGTGAAAAGAGGAGCTAAGGCGTTTTAAAGAGGAGTTTTAAAGTAGGAGAGTGATAGAATCTGACTTGTGTTTTTAAATAGATTACTGCTGGCTACTGCTTTGAGACTAGATTGTAGGGAAAGAAGAAGAGAAGCAGGAGGGCTCCTTAGACTACTACAGGGATGCAGATAAGAGCGGACAACAGCTGGCAGCACGATAGTAACAATGAAGTGGATTGATTCTCGGATTCTATATATGTTTTGAAGATTGAGCCTACAGGATTTTTTGACATATTGGATATGACTTTAGGACAGAAAGACGAGTCGGTAGCCAAGGTTTTGGTGTGAGCAGCTAGGAGTATTCACTCTCCACCAGGACAACTGGAGAAAACTGGGTAGAGTAGGTTTTGGAGAAAAGACCAGGAATTCAGGTTTGGATCTGTTAAATTTGAGAAGACTATGACATTTGAATGGAGGTGTCAAGTTGGATAGAAGAGTCGAGTTCAGGAGCAACACCTGGAGATAGAAATTGGAGAACATTGGGGGTACTGAGGTGGCTCAGTTGGTTAAGTGTCTGACTCTTGGTCTCAGCTCAGATCTTGATCTCAGGGTCTTGATCTCGAGGTTGTGAGTTCAGGCCCCACGTTGGGCTCCAAGCTGGGTGTGGAACCTACCTAAAAAAGAGAGAGAGAGAGAAAAAAGAGAAATTTGAGAACATTGAATGAAATACTGAGAGCGTTATGTATGTCTAAGGAGTATTTCCTGAAATGACTATAAGTTTAAAATACTTTTAAGTTTTAAAAGTTTCATTTGTACCAGTGGTGTGGTTTGAAGTAGGGAAGAAGAGTGGCAGAGCATCCTTTATGATGATAGTAAACTATGAGCTTAAAGAAGTCATTAATTGTTCCATCTGTTCAGTATTACGAAACATGAAAGCCTCTAGGCTAAATATCTTATTTGAATATTCCTTTTTGCTGAAACATTTACCAGTTTGTTTCTAATTAGGGAAGTTTATTGACCGAAGGCTGTGTAAGTAAAGGCCTGAAAGGGACAGAAGACCAAAAGTTGAGGAAAAGAACCATGATTGGATCATCAGTCCTACTCTTTAGAGAGTTTTTCTTTTTTGTTCACTCCTTTGCTCTCTGTCTCTCTCCCTTTACTCATTGTCTATTAACATAATGAGATGTTCAGGTGTAAGCACAGGGACTAACCCAGAAACTGTTCTCTCTCAACAAATGTAAAGCTTACTGCTCCAGCCTTGATCACCAGACAGGGCTGCCAGACCAAGCCTTAGCCAACCTATTCATAGATCCGGACTGTTCAGGAAAGTGAAGAAGGGGCCTTGCTTTTTGTGTAATTTAGACCTATACAGAAATGACCTGAGAATGGTTTGGCTTGTGTGGAAAAGAAGAAAACAGATTTATCATTGAGCCAATATTTAGTTCAACTTCCAAAAGTTTTCATTCAGCAAATATTTATTACAGAACTGTTGTGGGTCAGGAATGCTATCAGGCTAAACTAAATGACCAGTGAGACATATAAACAAATGATTAAAAAAAAGAACCCAAATGCTGTGTTCTTCACCAGATATTCCAGCACAGTGGGCAGGAGGAGTTATGAAAGAAATCAATTCACCTTTAGGTCCTCAAAACCTATCAGAGTGCTTTGCATATTTTAACAATGCATAAGTGTATAATAGGTGAGTGCATAAGCAATGTGATTCATGCATCTGTTAGATAATTTACAACATACAGAGGGAGGTACAAAGGAGAAAGTGACCATTTCTTCCTTGTAGTGATGGAGAGAAGGGCTTTGCAGGAAATTCACTGGGTAGGGAAGGCCTGCAAATGTGGAGTTAGAAAGCACAACATGCTCTGAATAAGTTCAGCAAAGCTGGATTGTGGGGTGTATGTTGGGAGGTAGGAAGGCCACAAGTGAGGCTACTATAGGGTAGACCAAAATCAAGATGCAAGAGTATCTTGTATTAGGGGGCACCTGGGTAGCTCAGTTGGTTAAGTGTCCGAGTCTTGATCTCAGCTCAGGTCTTGATCTCAGAGTTGTGAGCTCAAGCCCCACGTGAAGCTCCACACTCAGCCACTTAAAAAAAAATCTTGTATTGGAATTTATTCTGTGGGTACTACAAGACTATTGAAAGTTTTTTTAAACAGGAATATTAAGAGGTAGAATTCATGAGACATTCTTAAAAAAAAAACGCATTCTTGAATTGGGAAGTCAGATGTTGACAGAATTTTTAAAGTTATAAACATATATACTGGAAGTAAGCACAGCTAACAAGTCATATCATTTATGGTAGAATCTGTTTTATCCCTTTCAGATAACATATATGATCTTAGTGTAGGTACAACCTAAACTAGATAATTAAACTTACACTAAGGTATTCAAAATATGCAGGATGGCGTTGGTTGGTTTTTGGAAGAGAAAGAACATATTTTTGCTTTATGAAATTATTGCAAACATGACTTTTTCTTTTTCTTAAAAATTCTATTTATTTATTTATTTATTTTAGAGAGAGTGTGCATGCAAGCGCGGTGAGGAGGGGTAGAGGGAAAGAGAATCTCAAATCTCTGATGGTTTCTTTTCTTTTTTGACTGACACTTTAGAGTACTGGTCAGGTATTTTGTAGAATGTCCTTCAATTTGATTTTGTCTTCTCTTTTCTCATGATTATGGACTGAAGTAATGACTTTTGGGCTTTTGGTGTTTAAAAAAATTGTTTTATTTAAAAAATTTTTTTAAAGATAGAAAGAATGATCAGGGGGAGGGGCAGAGGGAGAGAGAGGGGAAGCAGACTCCCCGCTGAGCAGGGAGTCTGATGGGCTCAATCCCAGAAACCTGAGATCATGACCTGAGCCAAAACCAAGAGTGAGATGCTTAATCAGCTGAGCTACCCAGGTGCCCCTCATTTTCACTTTTAAAACTATAAAATTGCCCTTTTTTTCACCATACAGTTCTATGAGTTCTAACACATGTATAAATTTGTGTAGCCACCACTATAATCAGGAAATAGAACAATTCCATCACCCCTCAAAACTCCGCCATGTTCTCCTGTTATAGGTCACACCCTACCCCCAATACGTGCCCCTATAACCACTGATAAGTTCTTCATCGTTGTAGATTGGTGTCTTAGAGAATGTCATGTAATGGAATCATAGAGTATGTAAGCTTTGACATTGGCTTCTTAGACTCATCATAATGCTTTTGAGAGTCCTCTAAGTTGTGTTTATCAACAGTTCATTCCATTTTATTGCTGAGTATGAATGTACTACTAGAATGTTTATCTCTTCCCCTCCCCCCCTTTCTGATAAGTATTTAAGAAATAACATATGTCCTCCTGGCACTATAATAAGCAATTTAAGTGAATTTTTTGTGAAACAGGGATTATCGTTTTCCCCTTTACAGAAGTGAAAACATAGGCATGGAGTTAAAGTAGCCCTAGGTCATACAACTAATTAATAGTGGACTTGGGACCCAAACCTAGGTCACCTACTCTAAAGCCCATGCTTTTGGACTACATGGCAAGTTGCTAATGTCAGTTTTTTCATTTCTCTGTTTTGACCAGCAGTATAATTAAGAGCAATTGAAGTTCTTGTTTCTTTAACATATTATAAAGTTCCCCTTCTTTTTGTTTATATTTAGTTTTTATTAAAGAGCAAATATAATAGAACTATAATTTTTTTCATGTTTCTGGTTTATAATCTTTGGGGCTAAGCATTCTGTGATTCAGTTCTTTTTTTTTTTATGTTATGTTAATCACCATACATCACATCATTAGTTTTTGATGTAGTGTTCCATGATTCATTGTTTGCATATAACACTCAGTGCTGCATGCAGAACGTGCTCTCTTTAAAACCCATCATCAGGCTAACTCATCCCCCCACCCCCCTCCCCAACTGGAGGGTATTATGCTGAGCGAAATAAGTCAATCAGAGAAAGACATGTATCATACGACCTCACTGATATGAGGAATTCTTAATCTCAGGAAACAAAGTGAGGGTTGCTGGAGTGGTGGGTGGTGGGAGGGATGGGGTGGCTGGCTCTGTGATTCAGTTCTAAAGCAGAAAGTCAAGCCAAATAAATCATCAGTCCACAAGCAATTCTGAATTAACATTGAGTACATCTGTTTATGAGAATTAAAGCCATAATACTAAGCTTTTTCTTAATCTCCTTGTAAACAGGATCTTTAATTTGTGTTATAGATAAATAATAAATATTGTATAAAAATAAACATAGTCTAAATTAGGCTAGTTTAAAATAAGAGGTTTGCCTTCTATCATATCTTAAATTTTACTAAGATTTCTTTCTTTCTTTCTTTTTTTTTTTTTAGAGCTTGGAGGTTTTGGGGTACTTGAGATGAGTTTTTTGCACTTGTGCTAAAAGCCCATTTACTTAAATATTCTCCTGTCATAGGATAAAAATGTTCCTGGAATATTAGTATAGGGTTTCTTGTGTTTTTAAAAATATCTTATTAGTGAACAGAAATAAGTATAATTGGGTTTTGGGGAAACTTACAAAATTTCCAGTTATTCTGCCTATCTGGTAATTTTATGTATTACTTTCAGTAAACTAAAATTTTGATGAGGAGACTTCTTTCTTAAGTGTGGCCTTCGTGTGATATTTGTTCTCTGTTCCTCAAACACTATTCAGAGGACTTGGAGAGGCTACAAAATCATAAAACATCAGAACTGAAGTGGGTCTTCGACATGACCAGATCTCTGGGCTCTCCCAGTATTTGACAAGAAAGGAAATGGAGTCCCCAGCAGTAGTGTGTCCACAGTGATGGTTGGTCGTACCAGCTGCATGGTGTGGCTCCTGCCCTCAGACAGGTTACCAGTTTATCCGTGTGGAGATGGACTTGTACAAAATTAACTGCGGTACAAAGTGGAATGTTCTTGGCAGTAGAAAGGGTACTGCTTTTCTTAAACAAGCCCTCCCCTCCCCCATCAAATCTTTTCTTGACTCATTCACTCTACACAATTACTTTCTATTTAGTTTCTCACCTTTCATTCTCTGTTAAAAGGTCTCTAATCAGATGTTTTGTCTTTTTTTTTTTTTTTTTTTACCTCTGCCACAATATGAAAACTCTTCTTTCAGAATTCACAGTGACGTTCATGTTGCTAAATTCTGCTGTTTTTTTTTTTTTCTCCCCTCCTCAGACCTCATTTTATTTGATCTGTCCTCAGCATTTGGCACAATTGCTCAGTCCCTTTTGGAAACACTTTCACTCAGATTCCAGGGTAATACCTTATTTGCCTTGTTTTCCTGTGACATTTTTGAGTCCTCCTTCTTAGGCTTCTTTGCTAGCTTTACCTCAGCTCCCCCACCTCTAAATATTAGAGGGTCCCGGGGATCTGTCATTGTTACTTTTCTAGCTGTAGCTTTAATATCAGATACACATTTATATCATGTATATGTTAATGACTTCAGTTTATATATCCAGCCCATACTCCTGCCCTGGGGTTTAGGACCATGTCTGCAACTCCAGGACAATATATCCAATTTGACATCTCCACTTGGAACATCTCAAACTTAATGAGTTCAAAACTGAGCTCTTGGGGCTCTGGGTGGCTCGGTTGGTTAAGGATCCCACTCTGGATTTCAGCTCAGGTCATGATCTCAGGCTCATGGGATCGATCCCCAAGTCGGGCTCCCTGTTCAGTGTCGAGTCTGCTTAAGATTCTCTCTCTTGGGCGCCTGGGTGGCTCAGTTGGTTAAGCGACTGCCTTCGGCTCAGGTCATGATCCTGGAGTCCCGGGATCGAGTCCCGCATCGGGCTCCCTGCTCCCTGCTCGGCAGGGAGTCTGCTTCTCCCTCTGACCCTCCCCCCTCTCATGTGCTCTCTCTCATTCTCTCTCTCTCAAATAAATAAAAATCTTTAAAAAAAAAAAAATTCTCTCTCTCTTGCTCTCCCTCTTCTCTCCCCCCCCACTCGTGTGCGCACTCTCTCTCTGAAATAAATAAATCTTTTTTTTTTTTTTAAGATTTTATTTATTTGGCAGAGAGAGCACAAGCAGGGGGTAGTGGCAGAGGGAGAAGGAGAAGCAGACGTTTGAGCCACCCAGGCGCCCCTAAATAAATAAATCTTAAACAAACAAAACAAAACCTGAACTCCTGATATTTCCACACCCCAAACCATCATCATCTGTAGTCTTTCCTCTCCAGTTTGGGCAACTGCAGTCTCTCAGTTGCCAAAAATGGAGTTTTGAAGCCTTTCTTTCCCCACCGACTCTTTTCCATCCATTGAGAAATTTTGTTGGATATTCCTCAAAAGCACAGCCATAATTTGATCACATCTTCCTCTTAGGCTGCCTCCTTTGTCTAAGTCATTATCATCTTCTCTGGATTAT